AGCGCGCCGCAGACGGCGCGGCTGGCGTCGTTCTCGCAGAGCGCAACCCGCAGCGGGCAGCAAAGGGGGTTTCCTCCGCTATAAGTGAGCGGGTCAGTGCGGATGCACCTGACAGCGGTTTTACGTAACGGGTGGCTCTGCTTGTTTGGGCTTGCTGCACCCGGAGGTTTTCCTGCATTTGGGCAGGGAGCGCAGCAAGGAAATCACTCGATGTGAGAACAGGACTGCAAAGAGTGCAGAGGTTTGGCCCTATGCACAAGCTGTAGTCCTTGCACAGCCACAAATTGAGTACAAGCAAAAATAAAGATGCAAAAACAAAGAGGTGAAAGATCCTCTCACTTATGCATGCATATGTGGACCTCACTAGCTCTGCTCTTGCATGCCCCTTTCTGAATATTTTATCTAATTCTTTAAAGAAACATCCTTTTCCACTTGGCAAAGATGCTGTCAGGAACCCTGCAATGGCCAGGAGCTGGTTGCTTGGACTAACAGCCTATTCAAATCTTTCTTAGCAAGACAGAAGGCCCCACTTCCTTATCCCCATGCGGCAGGGAAAGCGAGCAAGGCCACCAGGAGCCACAAGGAGCTGTTGCTAGCAAGGGTCAAACAGCAAGGCCCTTTCTGCGCAGCAGTGTTTGCTTTCTGCAAAGTGGGTTATGTTTGTCTTCTGGGATTTGCATGAAAGAGCATTTTTCATGCTCGGTGAGTTAATTATTAGCCATAGACAAGTAGCCACTGAGCAATTAGAGATCACAACACAAGGAAGAAAGCACAACAGAACACCTTTCATCTTAACAAGGAAATGAAAGCTTTTTTCTCTTGCCGGGAATTGCCCCTAATGAAATAAATCCTGTCATTTGATACCCAGAAATCAAATTCTTGCGGATGTTTGTAAAGACTTTCTTGGCATCCATCCGCTTCTCTGGAACTTGCAATAACCAGGTAGGTGCGCAGTCATGCTTGGGAGATGCACGTCCCCACCAGCGCACTGTGCAAGGGCAGAGAGAAAGGTCTCTGGGGATTAAGTCCTGGATTTCTCTGCACCATCACTCAATTCGAAACATGGAAAGATCCGAAATGTTCAGCCTGAAGAACACAGAGGCATTTCGATAAGCCCACAGTTTGATTATCCGTCGTGCTGAGTCCCAGCCAAGGGGTGGGTTAGCCCTGGTTTGATGTACCAACAGGGACAGCGCTTTGTTTGATTTAAGCTAAATCTCTTCATCCTACCAGTTTTATCAGCAACAGAAGGAAGAGGGAAAAAATAAATAAATAGAAAGAACATTTATTCCTCCTTTTGACTGGCAAGCGTCCTTGACAAGAACGGGGAAGCAAAGGTCAGGCTAAATCTCCTGCAGGACCTGGTCCACGAGCGCAGGTTTTCCTAAGGAGCGGTTTTGGCAGCCTAGCCGGCAGGTGAACAAGCCTTCCTTTCACAGCAGGAAAATACGACCCCGCTATCCCAAACACTTAAAAATGGTGTGAACTTCTCACAAGGGTCAGGTTAGCAGCTCTGATCCAGGTCCCCACCGGACTTCCCTGCCCTTGGCTGCTTTTGGACCATCTTTGGACTTTAAACTGCTGAAGGGCTGCACTGATCTTCAGATGTGCAAGCATATTCAGTGCTGGATTTCCTGGCTGAAATACTTTATGTTTTGTTCTTTGGGCTGTGCACAAGTCTTTGTAGGAAAAGATGAGCAAAGTGGCCGCTTTGCAGAGGCCAAATCTTCCAGGGGAAGGTGGGATGGGGAGAGCAGAGGGGCCTGGGGTGCTCCCCTCTGCCTCTAGCAGCTCTAACTCTCCATCTGCCCCAGGTTTATGGAGCACTGGGTGCAACTCAGCCGCTTCCCAAGTGACCACTTGTCTTCTCCTTCCAGGGAGTGAAAGCAAAATGACCGTCCTGGTCTTCATCGCGTCCGTGTTCCTGCTCTCCCTCCTGCCCGCGGAAGCTGCAAGGAGCAAATACCCGCCCAAATCGGCAAGTGAGTGCGAGGCGCTCGCGGGTCGGGGTCCCCTCTCCCGGCAGCGCCCGTCACCGTGCTGGGACCTGCTCTGCAGCCTCGCTGGGTCGCGCAGCGCGCCGGGCACTCGCTGCGACCTGCTCTCTCCTTGCAGTTTTGAAGCCCATCCTGCTCTCTCCTTGCAGTTTTGAAGCCCATCTTTGGGCCGAGGGAGGTGACCGGTTTGCTGGACGGATCCGTCAGCGTGAAATGCTTCTACCCCCAAACCACGGTGAACAAGCACGACAGAAAGTACTGGTGCAGGGAGGCGACGAGGAGCTGCCAGACCATCATCTCGTCCAACGGCTACGTGGCCGCGAGCTACGAAGGGCGAGTGTCCATCACGGACTTCCCGGAGCAAGGCGTGTTCCTCGTCAACGTCTCCGGGCTGTCCCTGGCGGACGGGGGCTCCTACCGATGCGGCCTTGGTCTCAACAACAAAGCGCTCTCCTTCCAAGTCAAGCTGGACATTTCTGAAGGTAGCAGCCTTAGAGCATTGCTTTCCTTTTCCCCTTTTGGCTGGGCTCTGTGGGAGGTCTGGCTAGGCCCTCTTTGTCCCTAGTGTTTTCACAGGGTAACATATTTTATGATCACTAACTCAGCAAAAAGAGAAATTGGGTGAAATGAACCTCCTTTAAGGCCTCAAACCTTTAGAAATTGCTGACTTTGCTAATCAGCAAAGGGAGGATTGCAGAGAACAGTGCAAACTCATGCACTGTCCCTGGGAGAAGCCTTGGTGCAGAGCAGTGATATGGCCAAGACACCACAGTCCTGTGGTGACACAGTAGGAAAATGTCATGTTTTGCACAGGAGCTCATGGAATACAGCAGCACTACAGTACTGCAAGACTCTACTCTTGCAGAAAGCAGACTGCGGTAAACCCTGACCAATGCTCCTTCCCACAGGTCCAAACGTGCCCGAGGAAGCCGAGCTCTTCTACGTGGAGCTGCACGGCTCTGTGACCATCACCTGCAGCTTCGGTTCCGAGTACGAGAGCACCAGGAAATACCTGTGCAAGTTGGAGAAATCCGGCTGCCGAAACATCATCGATACCTACGGGAAGGTGGATGACGACTACGCGGGGCGCATTTTGTTGAGCAATGAGAACACCGCGGGGTCGTACAGTGTCATGATCACCCAGCTGGGCTGGGAAGACGCAGGGCTCTATCTGTGCGGTGCTGGGGTCTACGAAGAGAGCGGAGAAACCAAGGAAGTGGATCTGCACGTCTATGAAGGTCAGTGAGATAGTCCCAAGCGGTCTAAAGAGCTCTATATGGGTTCCCTTCACTCTGTTTCTCTTTAAAAGTAGCACTAATGGTGTCATTTTACTTATCAAGGATTTTATTTTCTTTTCCTGGAGTGCTATTATTCTGTCCTCTCCAATAGATCCTTCTTTCTATTCATGTATCTATCAGTCATGTGCTAAATCATGACCAATAAGGCCCAGATTGTACCTTGAGGGTTAGTTTTCCTGGCAGTGGTGAGCTATCTCCCTGGTGAATTATTCCTGGTAATTTGAGACAGGAAGACTGTCTCTTCAAATATTTTAATTCCTTAAATTTTAAAACGATACATAGATACATAGATAGGAAGGAATTTCATTGTCCTTTCTCTTAAAAAGAAAGTGATACTTAGAAATGTTGATGCATAAGACAACAACAACCCAGTTAATTTAGGAAAAGGAGAGACCCGACAGATCCTTTGGGGTGAACTCCTATCAGCCCTAGGGTGGTCTCCTACCATTGGTAGCCTAGAGCTTGACCCAGTCTCATTATAGCAGCGAATACAGTTTTGTTCAGCCTGATTTATTCCCTTGGGGGACTGCTACATGGGGAAAGGTTAGGTATGTAAAATCGCCTGCTTCATTTTGTATTGCCAGGGACAGACGTTCCTCAAGGAAAACACACAGTACTTGGGGTGAAAGGAGGTTCGGTGACCATTGAATGCCACTATAATGCTAAAGAAAGAAGCTCATTGAAGTACTGGTGCAAGTGGAGAAAGAACGGGTGCTCCCGGATAATAGGCAGCAATGGGTTTGTGTCAGACCAGTATGAAGGAAGAGTGGCCATGTACGATGACCCGGAGAACAACACCATTACCATCATCCTCAACCAGCTGGCAGACAGTGACAACGGCTATTACTGGTGCATGACAGATGAAAAGAGGGAGAAGAAAACAACGAAGGAGCTGAAGGTTGTGGATGGTATGGGCACATGTATTGCGGGTTCCCTGCCCACACAGTGGGTATGAAAGAACTTCCTAAGCACCAGCACTAAGTACTAGGCTTTTGCAAGGAGACATGAGTTCCTTCTCTGAAATTACTGCAAAATTTTGCAGTAATTTCAACCCCCCCGGTAATTTTAATGGAAGCACCAGGTTTCAGGTCAGTGGGGAAGTGTTGGCAAGCAGCATCTCATCACAACCACCTCTCACCCCTCACAAAACACAACTTTTGCCCAGAAATGCGTATGCAGCACCTAGTACCGATTCAGTGGTGCAAGGAGCACTTTCCCTCAAAGATGTCTCTTGTGGCTCACGTCATGGTACTGCTACCTATTTGCTACCATGACTGAAACTGCTAACCTCCCTCTCCGGTTGTGTCTTCCTCACAGGGCAACCCAGTTTAACAGGAATGGAGGAGGTGGAAGCCAGCGTGGGTGCCCCGGCACAGCTAGCTTGCTCTTACCCATGCAAGTACTACTCCTATGAGAAGTACTGGTGCAAGTGGACCAGGACCGGCTGCACCCCCGTGGAAGCTTCCAACCAAAGTCACTCCGAGCTGAACGTTGACTGTGACAAGGCCAACAAGACCGTTCTCCAAAATTTTGACCACGTGGCATTGACGGACCAAGGCTGGTACTGGTGCGGGGTGAAGCGCAACGGTGTCTACGGGGAAACCAGGGCCACGTACCTGCGGGTATCCGGAGGTGAGCTGGGCGGCAGAGCGGGCAGGGGCGTCCGTGCTACCCACAGAACCGCGCTGCCGTCTCCGAGGAGGAAATGCTTCCCGCATCCACTAGGTTGCAGCACCTCGAAACAGAAACGCTCTCGCCCGGCCAGCCGAGATCACTTCGGTTTGGCGATCTCTGCAGATGCTCTCATCTGCTCACTGGTGTCAGCACCTCCTCCTTCCCAATCACTAAGAGAAGCAAGTCTGTACAAATCACTTCCTTCCACCCCATTTTCTGCCTTTTGACTCTGTTCCTAGTAGTTGTTGCTATTACAATTTGCAGCATCACTCAAAAGATGCAGCATCTGACACGTGGTGTGTGAAAAGCAGCAGGGGGTAGGAGATGCATCCGACCCCTGGGAGCTTATGGTCTTAATAGACAGGAAAATTGTAGGATGCAAGAAAGGAAGGGCAGCCACCACATTCCCTCTCTACAAGCAAGGGATTGGGCTCCCTTCCCTGCAGTGTTTTGGACTGCAGATGTTTTCCTCGGGAAGGGATGTTGGCAGCAGGGCAGAGCTCCAGCATCGCCTTAGAAACCCCGCACGCAGCTCAACCTGCCTGAGCACGAGATAGGCAGGAACTGCTTAGAGAGGGGCAGCCTCATTTCACTGCCCTTGGTGGGCGAAGGGCAAGAAGTAAAAGCAAGCTGAGTATTCAACCTATTTCCTTGCAATGCTACGAAAACAAGATTTAAAATCGCAGTAAGTTTCCAAAGCATATGTGCAAATACAGAAGGAGGTAACTGAACATTTTTGCAAGATATTGTTTTGGGCTAAGTTTTTCCAGGCCTCTAAACCACAATTTCAAGAATCACACACATACATATATGTGTGTTTTTATTTTTATATATATATATATAATCCAATACCCAAATGCACAAATCCAATCCAATGCACAAAATACAGAGCATGCACTTACCTTCCCTCCTTCTTTCCATGCACTCACCTCCCTTCTTCCGCAGCGAGTCTCCCTGTGGAGAACACCGCTGATGCCGGCCCGGAGCTCTTGGATGTGGATGCCCCCAGCAGCACCCGGGAGAGCCGCGTTGCGGTCCAGGACAGCCGCGTTGCGGTCCAGGACAGCCGTGCTGTGGTCCAGGACAGCCGCGTTGCGGTCCAGGACAGAGCCAGCAGCAGCGGGGCACAAAGCCCAGCGGCCGCGGGGAGGTGAGTCCCGGCCGAGCCTTGGCCGCTCGCTGTTCTCGAGAAGTTGATCTCGACTCACGTGGTTAAGAGGCACCAGGTCACAGCACGTGTTGCATCTCCCCCTTGCAGCGGTGGGCCCAGTTCGCTCGTGTTAGCCCTTGTCTCCGTTGGCGGAGTCCTCGGGATCCTGGCTACGGTTTTTGCTGTTTACAAGTACAGGCAGATAAAGCGCTCGGGTGAGTCCGTGCTGCTCACAGGAGAAGTCGGTAACGTTGAGATGGGAGGGCTGGTGTGAGTGGAGCATCCCAGGTGCTCCCGTGGTGGGAAGAGCAGGGAGCCCGGCTCGCAGCATCTCCGGACCTGCGGAGATGCAGAGACTGGAGCCCTACACGGAGCTGAGGAGCTGGGGGGAAGGAGCTGGGCCGGGAAGGAGCGGGGCCGGGAAGGAGCCGGGCCGGGAAGGAGCTCACCGGGGCCACGCGCCCCTTGTCTCCCCTCTCGCAGAGCTGGTTTCAGGGGAGGCGGAGGAGGCGCCGCGGGAGATGTCGGACTTCGAGAGCGCCAAGGAGTACGGCGCCAACGACAACGCCTGCATGACGGGGACGCAGGAGACGCGGATTGGGGGGGACGGTAAGAGCGCGGGACGCCCTGGGAGGCGGAGGAGGCGCCGCGGGAGCGGGGTGCCCCTTGGCCAAGTCAGCACAGATCCTCCCTGACGTGTCCCTTTCCTCCAGAGTTCGTGAGCACCGCGAGTGAGCCCGAGAGCGCCGCCGAGGCCAGGAAGGCCAAAAGGGTAAGAGGCGGCGGGTGAGAGCCCTGGGAGGGGTTGGCACAAAGCCAGGAGCAGGGCCAGGTTCACGCGCTTAGAACCCACGAGCGAGGGATGCTCTGGGGAGCCCGGCTCAGCCCCGCGGCTTCTCCTGCGACGCTGCCCTTGTCTCTCCGCAGAGCTCCAAGGAGGAGGCCGACGTCGCCTACTCGGCGTTCCTGCTGCAGGCGAGCGCCGTGGCGCAGGGACACGGCACCGCGCTCCGCGTGCCATTCCCCTGGGAGGGGAGACTGGGGGCCGCACGCCGGACCCGCTCCTCGCACCGCCACGGAGCGCTCTGCTTCAATCCCTTCCAGGTCCTGCTGGGCTCTATAGAAAAAGCATAAAAATATTCATATACGAATCCTGGAATAAAGACACGTGAGCTCTCCCCTTTTATCCGATCCCATTCCCGCTCCTTTCCTTCCTTCCCCTGCTGCGGAACCACGCAAAGCCACGCATCAGGATCAAGTCCCGGGTCTCAAGCATCACGTCGCCGTGTCGCAGTTGAATCCCCTCTCCAGCATGTTGGAAAGGGCAGCACGAGGTGCTCATGGGCTGGGACTCACCTTGGCCTGCCCTGGGCTGCTGGAAGGGAACGAAGGATCCCAGATCAACAGGAGAGGCTGCATGGACCCATCCAGCTGAGGAACACTAATGCATAGAGATTTCCGAGATGAAAAACCCCTTCCCTCTCTTCTTTCCCAGCTCAGCTTCCTCCTGAACAAACTACTGAGCCGCCACCTCTTGCTAGCAGCAGTCACACATGGTTTTGCACAAAAAACTCTCCCCATTGCATAGAAAAATGAGTAAATAACAGCAAGAGACCTATCCAGGTATGGAGGCACGGGTGCTGTGCCTTTCCCAGGAAGGGCTGAGGATCAGGGCGCTCTCAGAACCGGCCCGTTCCCCTCCTTCCCCTCTCCGGGCCGAACTGTCCGTTACGTGCACTGAGCTCCGCGGGACCTCGGTCCAGCTTGGGTCTCCACAGGACCAACGCAAACCCCCGCGATGCTCCCGGGCTGCATCCCGCCCACGGCGCTCCGTTCCCGCGGGATGGAGCCGCTCACGCAGCGACCGGCTTCGATTCGCAGCGCGACACAGGCCAACCTAGCTCCACGCAACCCCAGCAGCTTGCTTTGAAATGCAAAAATGAAATAAAGAGGTCTTAGCTCCAAATTTGCCAGCAACTATTACAAATAAAATTGCTTTTTTAAAAAAGCACTAGCATTTACAGACACATTCCTAAGTTTTTTCCTGTACTTGAAAGCTTACGATTACCAGCAGCAACTATAGCAGTTATAAAGGACTCACAGTGAATTCTGCTCAAAAAGTTCCACTGACAAGAAACAATAATACCTCTGAATTTTGGCAAATGCAGTCTAACACAGACTAGCAGTTTTTAATTGGGTTTATTTATAGTAAATGCAACCAATTTACACGAAATGTAGTACTGAGTGTCAGTAAATTGCATAATACACACAATCTTTTTTCCTACTATTCAACAACCACATATATTACATTAAAAAAAATTTACTTCTTTTACTGGTAAGGCAGAAAATACCATTTCAAAAGTAAACACAGGTTTTAATGCTGGAAGTCCCTGCTAGGGTTACTCTTGCAAGCACTGCCCACCCTGTCCACAGGCTGGTTTCAGCACTCTAAAATGAGCCCAGCTCTATAAGTGCTGTTCTGTAGCATTAACTAGATCATAACCGTAGCTACCGGGGATCCAGGATTCATTGATATATACAAAGAATTTATAATTTAAACAATAATTCTATTATATTAGCATAGCATACATCTGCTGATAACACAGGAGAAACGCTTCTAGATTTGCCCTTGAGAACATCCTTCGCCAGAAGACGAGTGCTCTGCTGATTGGGTTGACCTCAACGCTTCTGGCTTCATTCAAGACTCTAGGGACACGTTACTGGTGATCCAAAACACTTAGTGTTTGAGCAAACGTCAGCTACAATCAGTGAGAACCAGCTTTGAAACACGACATTATTTCCACAACCAACATGGGCACGGACACCGCATTCCCAAACGCAGGTCCCTGCCACGGGGTAACGCTGTCCACGCTCTAACGAGACTTCTCCATCCAGTCTAGCAGGATATCCAGCTCGCCTAAGGATTTCATTGCTGCCGATGTGACATTCAGCTGAAATCGATATACAGGAGCAAGCCGTAAGTAGCAACAGCAATTATAACCTTGTTAAGGTGAATTGGAGTACTTGCATTAATTAACAGACATATTGTCACCCACTTACCCCTTTGTAGTTGGCGAGTATTTGCTTGAATTTCTCTGTGGACTCCTGGCCACACTTGCACATGTTTTGGTTATGCTAGAAGAATAAGAGAGAATTCATTTGTTTGGAGCTTTCATTTTTAAAAATAAGAGATCACTTTCTAACTGCAATGGAAATTATTGTGCAGACTGAGTCCCTGTGAAACTGAAAAATGCTGCACTCCTCAAACCCAGCTTCAGCTCAGAATTTGCTCTAATAGAGAGGACTGGTATAAATGGTAGTTTTGAGAGCTAACATGGGATGTGGCTGATGAAGGGGCAAACAGCAAACCCTCTCAGTGGACCTGCAACCTCTCCATTTCATGTCCCTCTCCCACCTATCTCTGCTTAAAACCATGTTTATAAGATTTTGTAACGTTATAAAATGCTTGGCTCTACTTATATACCATGGAAACAAACTTGGGGAACCCTGCAGACTTACGCACTGCGCGAGGTTCCTCTTGATGCTGAGGAAAGAGTTGGCGATGCTGCTGATCTTTCGGTTGACGTAAGAATCCTCAGTCGTGCAGTATTTGAAGACCTTGTCCACATAGAAGTTGAAGAGGTGATGGATGATGCAACATTTTTCTGAAGACTTAAGCAATACACTTCATTTTAAAGGTCTTCCAAAGTGCTCTACGCCCACAGTTTCCAGCAGACTCTGTCCCCCCAGCAGAAGATGCCACCTCTGCCACTAGATGTAGCTGACAGGGTGATGTTTAGGACACATACTTTGCCTTGATGGAGACTGATAATATCTATAGGTTGTTATTATAGACTGATTTGCCTGAAGATCAGCATTCAGCAAGTCGCATTTAGTCACATAAAAGAGCTGCTGATTTGGAAGCTGTGTATTAGAGGACCCTGAAACCCGGAGCAGTGGCCACGGTAGCACATAGGGCCACTAAGAGAGGAAGAGGAGAGCCCAGCAAGGTGCCTACCTTAATCCTGTGCAGGGAGTGCGGATGGGACAGGATGCTCACGGTGCGGATGGGGTCTCTGCTTTGCTGTGCAGGCAGAGAGAGCAGTGGTGAGAGCGGGATGGTCCCCGGAGCCGCTCAGGAAGGGCTTTCCCACCCCACCGGAGCCCCCGGCAATACTTACAATGTTGGCTTTAATTGCTGCAAAACCAGCCCTAATTTCATTCATGCTCATTGAAATCCGGCAAGGTCCAAAGCGGAAGATTTTGTTCCCGTGCGCTAGCATCAACCAGCACATAGCAGAAAAGAGGAAAATGTGGGATCCCTTCATGCTGTGGTGAGATGCAAAACTTGCCGTCTGGCTGCCTCGAGGACCTGCACAAGGAAGGACAGTATTTCCTCACTGTCTTTCCTCTAAGAAACAGAAAAATTAACAAAAGTTACTACTTCCTATCAAGATTGTAAACATGTGATTTCTGAGCTTACATTATAACCCCTCTTTGTGGGTTACACATCCACGTAAAAGAACAGCTCAAGCCACAGTAAAAGTACCTTGAACAATTCAATTTGTTCATACATGCTATGAGCTGAGAATATAATTGTGATATTTATGAAAAGGCACAGATTTTAGATATTATTTGTTGCATATGTGTATGTGCATTAGAACACCCTGGTTAGTGTGTTCTCAGATCTCTGATGCAAGAGAAGAAGAAGGAAAAAAAAAGCGTTAAATTTCTCAAAGGAGGAAAGAAGACTGAAAATGCCAGTGAAATCTAGCATGTAAATACAGTTTCTCTCAAAATTTTCAATGGAAAAATAAATAATAACTGCTAATAATAACTGCTAATAAATTTAGCAATTAAAAGCCTCCTGAATCAAAGAAAGCAAAACTGAAGCTAACTGTGCCTGAAAGTAGGAGCTTGAACAAAGAGGCCACTACAGCAGCAGGAGCAATTAGGTACAAATTCCTAGAGCAGAAAGACAAAAATCAGCGTTTTACCTTTTTTCCTGATGCAGACTCACCTGTCTCTCCGATCTCTGACCCGAAGAGCTCTGAGGAACAAGTTTTTATCCAGGTATGGGGAGGAAATAACTCTCGGATTAACTTTTGGGATTTTTCTCCCTTTTCCCAGCACAGATTTCCCTTTGTAATTTGCTGAATTAATTACTCAGTGAAAGGGACCAACTCATGCACCCACAGGTGTTTCTCTAGCACATGGAGGCGGGAAATCTTGGCATTTCCTTATCATCCTTTATTCAGGAAAAAGGATGTGACCGAAAGGAGGGACCATCCTTGGGGCTGTGTCTCTCCCGGACTCCTGTGCTCGGGGATGCCTCGGCAAATATTCCCAGGAAAGGGCCTTTCCAGGCTAGGAAAAGGGTGGGGAAAAAAAAAAGCAGAAAGGGACCTTTTTGGCTGCGGAAGCTGAGCGGCATCAGCGCACAAGAGGCTCTGGTCTGGGCGTCCCACAGCAGGAGCATTTCTGGCGTTTTCACTACATTTCCAGGTCCATATTTTAGATGATCGTGCACAGTCCAAAGCTGCCGTTCTGCAAAGGAAGAGAGATTTCACATAGACCATTCCATATCTACCAGCCTTGCAGCAGGGAAAGATTTTCCCTGCGGAGGGGCAGGCTGGAAGGGCTCCCCTTGCCCTGCAGGTATCAGCAGCGTCACCTGATGTCCCAGGGCCAGGCTCTCCAGGACAGCCATCCCGGGAAGGTGGCAGTGGGCTGGTGCCCAGGGAGGACACTAGGGTATCTCCACACCTCGCCTTCGGCTCCAAGGGCAGTTCTGTAACCCCTCTGGAAGAGCTCAGTGTGGTCTGCGAGGAAAAACAAGCATTGAGCAACCTCCTTGGGCTGCTCATTCCCCATAGAAAGAGCCAGATGGACTAGAGCACATGGGCATGGCAAAGGAGGACCTTTAGTCCCCAACCAACCTCTAAAGAGCCACTTTGCCCCAGATGAGGACAGCAACCCGTATGCATGACTCCTGCAGTGGGGATATCGCTCTGCAGGTCGGAGCAATTTTAGAGAAATTTCCTGGGTGAGTAATTTATTGATAACAAATTCAACCCTGAGACTACATCCATCATCACAGCAGGACTAAGCAAATACTGTCTATGCCCAGGCTAGTCACAGTTTTGCATACCTTTGACATCACCACAACGCACGCAGCAAATACCCACCTCAGCCCCTGTATCTCACTGTATGCAAGGAAACAACCCCAAGGCAGGTCCCAATCCGCAGTGGGCTGCGTTCCCCCCGAGGTGCTGGAGCGATGCTCGGCAGCACGCGAATTCCCCGCTTCCGCGTGTGATTGCAGCGAAAGTTCCACCCGGAGCGGAGGAAGAGGCAGCGAGGGCTCGTCTGTGCCAACACCTTTCCCAGCTCCACACCCAGCCCCAGTGAGGAAATGAGGGAAGAGGCAACGAGCTGTTACTTAATTATGTAAATTGCAGATGAGAAGGGATTTTTTTTTTCCTTTTAGTGACTGAATTGATGCTCAAGAGACAGGTCAGCCAAATGACAGCAGGAAAGAACCTGTCATGACTTAAAAACTGCTGGGCAGGCCCAGGAGGAAAGATGACAGAGTAATAAGGGAGCAAGGTGCTGTGTTACCAGGGACCTCGGGCTTAGCCTTGCTGTCCTTTGACTGGCCCTTTGGAGAGCAGCAATGACAGCATCGCCCTGTCCTCCAAGGGCAGATAAGGGCATAGGAAGGTTAGACTTTGGGACACACAGCGGGTACAGTCGTCATCTTTAGTTTTGAAGCATAGCCACAAAGACGGTGCTTGGCTATGCCAAGCGATGGCCCTCTGGGATGCAGGAGCATCCTGGCTGTTCGGAGCAGGTCTGATCCAGGCCACCACAAAAGGCAAATTAGCAGGGATTTCAGCAGGCATTCGATGGAGTCCTGGGTGCAGCTATTGCCCTCGGCCTGGTGCTGTGCCCAGGTGGTTCCCCGTGCGCACGGAGCTGCAGCAACGGGAAAATGACATCAGGGAAGGGGCCAGGCATTGCTCACCCGCTCTGGGAAGGAAGAGGAAAAGAAGAAACAGGGATTTCTGGAACATGGTAGCATGACAGCGCAGGTGGCAACATCAGCTAATAAAATGGGAAAGGAGGCCCCAGGGCACTCGCTCTGGGTAACCAGGTCTTTTGCACAGGGCAGCGCTCGCCGGGCACTGCTGTGGGAAGCAGCTCGGTCCCTGGGTTCCTCCTCATGCCCGATGGGGAAGGCTCCTCCCGGGGGACTTCACAACAAGCACAGGGCAAATTCAAAGTAGCTTTTGGCCAGGCAGCCTCATCCCTGCCGTGCCCAGCTCAGACAATAGCTGCCCCGCAGAAACAGCAGAACAATTAATGCAGAAAATCACCATCTTGCAGGCAAATGAGCAGTCAAGATTTCTTCTTCCATCCTGCGGTGCGTTCTTGCCCGCCTGCGGGCGTCATTACCGCAACGGGGCCTCAGTTTCCCTCTAAGTCTGAGTCAGTCCCGTGCTTTTCCAGCATCTCTTTTCCACTGACATCAGTCGGGCGGCTGCGTTGTAAACGTGTCCCTCCGAAGGGGAGCTCGTCCCTCGGGACGGCTCCTGCGGGCCAGGCTGCTCCCAGCGAGACGCTGCCCTGCGCACAGCAGCGGTGATTGCAGAAACACCTCCATCCCCGCACAAAGCGCTGGATCGGGGCGCACGAAAGGCTTGGGGAAATGACTAACCCCGTTCCTGGAGAGCGCGGGAGCACAGCGGGACACGAGACGCCCACGCGCCGCGAGCGCGTCCGTCCGGGAGCCGCGCGGAGCCGACCCCGGCGCCTTCGCTCCAGGCTGACAAAAGCTGCTGCTTGATCCTAACCACTTCCACGCTGCCCTGGTCTTGCCAAGGATCTCACTGTCAATAACTGATCACACGCATGCATTAACATTAGGTTTCCTGTAAAAGGACATCCCTTGCCAACGGGTTGGAATTCTGTTTCTAGAAGAAGAAAACGTTTCCGCGTGGCTTTCATGCCCCAAAACAGTCACTTAGTTGTTCAGCATTTGCTCGTTTCACTTTGCTGCCCTGTAAACTGTTAGACTGTCTTTCACTTACCACAGCCACATACTTATGTGAAATATTAACTGTATCAGTGCTGCCACTGCAGCTCTGGACAGTTCTCAGAGCCTTAAGAATTGGAGATTTAATCGTCAAATTGTCATGATCAAATCCAGAGTCTCTCTCCAATCTCCTGCAAACAGGTGGAAATCCAGAATAGCCCTCTGGAAATCGTTGGATTTACAGCAGTGAGACCGTGCACGGCGCAGTCGTCCTTTCCATGCCCATCCACAGAGCCCCAGTTTGCTGTGAGAGATGGAAACGCTGCCCGGGCGCAACGTGCGGCCACGACCTGTCCCAGCCCTCAGCATCTGGCATCATCCTCTCCCTCGATTCGTGCAAGCAGAGCACGCATGCCAGCCTCGAGGCTCGGGTAGGATATGGCTCACTCAGCTACAGCTCTGCAAGGCTGCTGACAAAAGTAGAAAATTGTTTTTCTCAGTAAGCTCATCAAATGACTCAGAAGAAACTTAGCGAGGAGTTATCGGCTCGGAGGTGCGGTACGCTCTGTGCCCTCTTTTCGCTCACGTTTCGAACCCTAACCACTCTAATAATTCTGAAAATTAAACACCGAGCTCTGCTTTTTACAGGGCTGCAGGCTAAGCATGGATGAGCTTAATGAAATGCAGCATTTATTCAGCCAACGATGAAAGACTTGAAAAGTCAACAGGGTGAAGCACCAGGCAAATCCATTTTCAGGATTTCTTTCCCCAAACTGCACTGCCCGGCCCCCTCTCAGGGCCAGAAAGCAGCCAGATCTGAAAGATCAGACCTGAAACCTGAATGCAGTGAAACCCCAATGCCACAGTCGTGTGCATGACTCACCCAGGGCAAAGCCCTGCCAAGTCAGGATTTTACCCCGAGAGGTTAAAAAATGCAAAAATTTCTCTTTTTTCTTTTTTCTCTGAGATGTCCTCGTTGTGGAAGGAGAGAAGCGTGGTGGAGAATCGTGCACATTGCTGTATCTGTTCTGCAGAAAGCATTAACTCAGTCACTGGGGGCGGTGTGGGGGGTGCTGAAGGTTAAATACTTGCTTCTCCTGTTTTGATAAAGTGCAAGCTAATATTTTGGTTATCATAAATGGCATCTTCCCCAAAGGGAAATGAATATTTCAGGTCTTTACAGCATAGAGCCTGCTGTGATATACAGCTAAAGAGCAACTCCTGCTTGCTTCTCATGAGCCACCATTGCTTGAGTTTCAGCAGCCACCGCTGCCTGCAAAGTTCCAGGCA